CCAAACTAGCTAGAAAGTGTGAGATTAAACATTGGTATACCTGTGGTGCGGACGGACGGAAGGTCGGGTGGTCGGTGTACGGTCACGTGATTGCCGAATTTTCTAAGATGGATCGATTTTCTAAGCTATGGGACTTCGAATTGAGCCCGTGATCAAATAAAATATCAGCGCAAAACTTTAAACACTACGTGACCTCAATGGATAGACTAATGAGCCCGTGATACACTCAGGTGATGATGGTCAGCGTATACTCTAGTTTGACAGCTGTCAATTAGCCTTCATTAGAATGGCGAATATTCGAATTAACAGACTACGAGTGTGAGTAAAACATATCCGTCCGGCATGTAGTGGAAAATGCCAGATCGTGTACCTGAGCGAACCTGAGCCCACGTTATTAGTTTTCTAATAGTGGTCTGCACATGTCCCATTTTGACAGCTGTCAATTGACCTTAATTTGGCTTGCCAATATATCTTTAAACGACTGTCAGCCAACTGACAGCCTTGCCCGGCGTAATTTTGTTTTTATGTTGAATTGGTAAGTGAGTATGTACTCATACGGATGGCTTACATAACTAAAAGGCTAGTCAAGCTGTGCAAGATCCTTTGTGACATTTGATATCGGCTTACATGAGGCGTGTGTACGGGTGGGCGGGCGGGCGGGCTGGCTGGCGTACGCTACGTCATAACCAAATTTTCTCAGATGGATAGTTTACAAAATTTTCTTACCCATGGTGCTCCGCTCTGCGCGCGCTTCGCGCGCGCGAGGAGCTCCGCTATCAATCCATGTTTTATAAATCAGTGTTTTATCAATCCATTTTCTATTAATTCATGTTTTATCAATCCATGTTTTGTGAATCCATATTTTCTTAATCCATGTTTATTAATCCATGTTTCATCAATCCATGTTTTATTAATGCATGTTTTATCAATCCATTTTCTATCTGAGAATTCATGTTTTATCAATCCATGTTTTATGAATCTATATTTTCTTAATCCATGTTTTATTAATCCATGTTTTATCAATTCATGTTTTATCAATCCATGTTTTATCAATCCATTTTCTATCAATTCATGTTTTATCAATCCATGTTTTATGAATCCATATTTTCTCAATCCATGTTTTATCAGTCCATATTTATCAATCCATGTTTTCTTACTCCAAGTTTTATTAATCCATTTTCTATCAATTCATGTTTTATCAATCCATGTTTTATGAATCCATATTTTCATAATCCATGTTTTATCAATCCATGTTTTATGAATCCATATTTTCATAATCCATGTTTTATCAATCCATGTTTTATTAATCCATGTGTTATCAATCCAGTCCATGTTTTACCAATCCAGTCCAGTCCATGTTTTATCATATGCCCTTTCACCTTCCATTTTATTTTTTACCTGTATACCATTTTTAAACGCCTTTTAACCTCGGAAATATCACTTAAAAAGGTTTTATCGTCATTCCGTGGGGCAAGTGTATTACAATTGCTTGCTACGTATATATGTATAAAATGTATCTTTCAGAGACGGTTGTTACTTTAACACCCAGATTTTATAAACATATAACCAGATCATGTTTTAGGTGCAATGAAAATTTAAAGCTTTCCTTTAGTTTCTTCTTACAGTCATTAGGGTTTAAAGTTGCATACCCGCTATTAACGAAATTTCCTTGTTTAATGATTAAAAGTTGTGATTGTACTTTACAGTCCGCAATTGCACAGTAATTTTTAGTGAGTTATTGTAACTCCAAAAATGGAGTAAACATTTTAGGTACAGGATAACCTCTTTTTTAGGGTTACTTTAACTCCTAATTTAACTAAAAATTTGGGGTCATTTTTACTCCTGAAAAAGAGTTCTTTTACGCTCAGTCTGGAGTTAAAATAACTCCGAAATGGGTTTATTTTTACTCCTTACATAGGTTGTTATTACTCTTTTTGGAGTTACTTTAACTCTGAAAGTAGAGTAAAAATTTTAGGTACCGGATAACTCCTTTTATATCCGCGGTCATTTTTACTCCTGAAAAAGAGTTATTTAAATTCCTTTTTGGAGTTAAAATAACTCCCCAAAAAATAACTCCACGGTAAGGTGTTAAATTATCCCCACTAGAGGAGTTATTATAACCCTTTAAAAATTACTGTGTGGACTTTAATTTCAACCGTTCCTTAATCAACTCTTCTATACTACATTTTGTGCTACATAGACTGTTTTATGGAATCCCCTACGATATTGTTTTGATTAATTTTTTTCGTATTTTTAGCTATTTGCATGCTAATAGAAAGGATTTTTCCCCAAAAGGTTCCAAGCATCAAAAGTGCATCAACCATGGCTCATTCAAAAGAATATACCGATGAACAGCTTAACTATTACAGAATTTGTTGTCTAACTACTGATATACTGGCGGAGGGTCTGAGAGAAATATTTAAACAAGAATGGGACAAACTGTACAAAACAACAAAAGGAGAATGGAAAGACGAACGTCGTAATGGAATGGACTTTTACAACGGAGAGTTTCCTCGAAATCAAAAAAGAAACGCCCATCTTTTGGCCACTATCAAAAACGGAAACAGAGGGGAATGGGACTGTACAAAGCTGTTTTACGCTATCCTTTTCTCTGATTGCGTCGGGCCACGTCTTAGCGCAATAGTCAGTAAAAATGTGGATGATCTAAGAAATTTCAGGAATGAAGAATTCGCTCACATGTCACAAGGTAGTCTCTCTGAGATAGATTTTCAGAATGCTATTACCAAAGTTCATGTTGCATTTCAAGCGCTTGGTCTTCCCACTGAAAATATTCAAGACCTAAGGTGTCAGAAAACTTTTCCAACAAAAGATTTAACAAAGGTCCTCAAAGAAGTTGATAATCTGAAGCAAGAAGTTCAAGAAAAAGAGGGTCAGCGCCAGGTCCTTGAAGATCAGCTCCAAAATGAAGCACCTTTATTCTGTGTCCTCCCTCCCAAACCCTCGCATGAAATCGGTGGTCGTGAAAGTGAAGTAGCCAAAATAGTCCAACAGCTGAGGGAACTAAATGAATCCAGTGACAACAGGTTGAGTTATGTATACATCTCAGGGAATCCTGGAAGCGGAAAATCACAGCTAGCTGGCCTCGTAGCTAAGATATTCTTTGACGAAGCCAAAGAAATGCCATGCGGATCTACATTTGTGATGACCTTAAATGCTACAAGTCCAGATTCACTTCTGGATTCGTATGCCTCATTTGCTCGCCATTTGAAATGCCCAGATTATTCAGTTATGGAAACCCTTAGCTCGAAGGATTGGAACGTGGAGGAAAAGATCGCAAATCTTAAAATGCTTATTGCTGTAAAAGTTAGCTGCTACACGTCGTGGCTACTGGTGGTTGACAATGTCACTAATATGTCATCAGTGCATGTCCATTTACCTGAGCCAGGAAACGAGGCCTGGGCAAGGGGTCAGTTGCTGATTACGACCCAGGACACAACGTCTATTCCTGCAAAGACCTCTTTTGTTGGTCATATCTCAGTGAGCAAAGGAATGGAGCCCGATGATGCTCGTTCATTTTTATCAAGGCTTTCTGGGATCCCAGATGGAGATCATGAGCTAATGACAAAAGTGGCACAAAAACTGGACTATCAACCCCTGGCTTTAGCAGGCGCTGCCGTCTTCGTCAAAGAGATCCGTCAGGATGAGACATCGAGTCATTTCGGCTGGGATGAGTACCTAAAGATTCTGGAGAAAGGTAAACGGGAAGTTACAGAGGATACTCTTGCCAACACCAACCCAATATACCCAAAGACAATGACAAGTGTTACAAAGCTCGCCGTTGAAAAGCTAGCGAAATCCGACAAATTTGTAAAACACCTTTTCACTTTCATTGGCCTCTGCGCACCAGGACCAATCAGCGTGGAAATAGTAATTAGCTACATGATGAATGTAAACGAAAACTTCGATGAAGCAGACAAGGAACCAATTCGCCTTAAATTTAGAAAATGTTCACTTTTACTTTTCGAAGATAACCACAGTGGCCACTTCATTCGTGTGCACCAGGTTGTGCATGATGCTATGAAATTTATGACACAAAACTATCCAGAGCGTCAAGTCGCTCATGTCGTAAATAAGATTATTACATCGTTCAACGAATATATATGCACTGTTTTACCTGAGAATAGGAGACTGGACACCGTACATATCGCTCCACATTTGAAAGCCTTAACTATGGTAACTGACGAGGTGTTTTTCAAAGAATATCTTCATGATAAAGGCATTTCAGAAAAATTTGAAAACCTTGCAGAGATTTGTAAAATGCATTGTGAATTCAACGAAGCAAAAAAATATTTGGAACATTCACTCACCTTTAGGCTTAAAGAGTTTGGTCCTGAACATGTGTATGTTGCAAGAAGCTTTAATAACCTAGCTATGATTTGCAAGGACTTAGGTGGATTCCAGGAAGCCAAGGAATATCAGCACCGAGCTCTAGCTATCCAACTGGAGAAGCTCGGCCCGGAACATGTTGATGTTGCAAGAGGCTTTAATGACCTAGCTTTAATTTATAAGGATTTAGGTGTCTTCCAGCAAGCTAAGGAGTATCAGCACCGTGCTCTAGCTATCCAACTGGAGAAGCTCGGCCCGGAACATGTTGATGTTGCAAAAAGCTTAAATGACCTAGCTTTAACTTACAAGGACTTAGGTGACTTCCAGCAAGCCAAGGATTATCAGCACCGTGCTCTGGCTATCCAGCTCAAGAAAATCGGCCCAGGACATTTTCATGTTGCGAGGAGCTATAATAACTTAGCTTTAATCTACCAGGCCTTAGGTGACTTCAAGCAAGCCAAAGAGGATCAACAGCGTGCTCTAGACATTGACGTTGCGAGACTTGGCCCGGAACATGTTGATGTTGCAAGGGACTATAATAACTTAGGTTTAATCTACTATTGCTTAGGTGACCTCGAGACAACCAAAGATTATCAGCAACGCGCTCTGACAATCGATTTTGCGAAGCTCGGCCCGGAACATGTCGATGTTGCAAGGGACTATCACAACTTAGCTTCAACTTGCCTTTGCTTAGGCGAGCTCGAGCAAGCTATCGATTATCAAAAACGAGCTCTAGCTATCGATGTTGCAAAGGTTGGTCCTGAACATGTTGATGTTGCAAGGAGCTACAATAACTTAGCTTTGATAAATCGGGCCTTAGGAAACTTCGAACAAGCTAAGGAGTGTCAGCAACGTGCTTTAGTCATCCAGATCGACAAGATGGGCCCAGACCACGTTGAAGTTGCAACGAGCTACAACAACTTAGCTTCAATGTACCGTCAGCTAGGTGACCTCGATAAAGCAAAGGAGTTGCATCAAAGTGCTCTAGCTATCAGACTGGAGAAGCTGGGTGCAGAACATGTTTCTGTTGCAACGAGCTACACTAATTTAGCTACAATTTACCATGACTTTGGTGAACTTGAGCAAGCCAAGGAGTATCAGTCCCGCGCTCTAGCAATCCAGGTCGACAAGCTGGGTTTGAATCATGTTGACGTTGCTAGGAGTGTAAATAACTTAGGTATAATTTGCAGGGCTTTAGGTAATTTTAGGTGACTTCTAGCAAGCCACGGAGTATTATCACCCACGTGCTATTGGCCGAAACATAATTATTTCTTTTAACTTAACCAAAGCAAGCCAGGGAGCTCCAGCAACGTGCTAGAGCTGCCATACTATACTGGACAAGCTTGCCTCTTAAAGATAGTTCAGTAGTTAATCCCTCAGCCCACGTCGCGAAATAATTAATTTCATCTACCATCTTTTATTTAAGTCAGAAACATGGGGTTTGAATTTATTAACTGTTAATTTAACAATCAAAGTAACGAGCTTCAGGAAACAAATTGATTGCACCGACAGTAAGAAACTTTCTACTAAACTTTCAAAAAGTAAATGAACAGCGTGATGGTTATCAAAGTTTATAATACTCACTGAAAAGCATAGGGGAGAAAAGTTCAGGCGAAAACGTAAATTTTCCGGACAGCAAAGCGACAAGGAAAAGGAGTCCTCACTAACAGTGAGCCCTCTTGGGAAAAAAACGAGTCATATGGATACAGATGATGTTTGCTGCCAAGCGTCTCTTTGGGTGCTGTATTCCAAGAGTCGTTTTCGACAGCTGACACAAAATACTGATCTCCTTTGGCAAGTCGTTGCAGTGAAAGCAACACCACATGCAACTTAGCTTTGAATGTCCTTAGTAAGCCACAGAACTAGATTTTTACTTTATTTATACAGTACTGAATAAATCGAGAAGTGGATGACTTTAGTCATTGCGAATTAGTAACCCCAGTCATTTAGTCCACTTCAGTTTAGAATTTATATTGAGTTTCTTTCCCTAGTCATCTTAAAGAATATTTATAGAAATGCCACATAATAACGTAGTCCCACCGAAATAGTGGGAATCCAACCGTGCGTTATTACCTTGGAACGAAATCCCCGGCTCTTTATTTCAGATGATCAAATTAGCGAATTTTAAGTTTGCTTTCATACCTTTTTTTAAAATTTTAATTCATTTCTTTTTTGCATGACTTTAAAGAGCAGTGTTGTTTGATTCCGAATTCCAGATTCTGTTCCCATTTCCTCCATTTTTATTCCATATTTTAAAGCTCCCTAATTTCAGATTCTGCGTGACTGTGTTTTATATTTTGTTTATTGTTTATTGTTTTTGTTTGCCAAAAAATTGTACAAATCAAATAAAATCTAATTACTTAAACTCTCATGGCGAGGAAGCCCAAGAGAAGCCACCGGGCTTATAAGGAATGGGCTCCCTCAGTTAGATAATTAGAACAAAATATTATCATAATTACACATGGGAAAATCTATGGCCGAGCTACAGTTAATCTTAAAATAAGTATATTAGATAGTCGTACTAATCATAGTTCTAGGATAAAAAAAGCGAAATGACAAAAAGAAAACAAAAAAAACAACAACAAAAGAAAATAAAAGAGCAAAGGAAGAAAAAAACTACATATATATATATATATATATAAATTACTATTTATGATAAGAGGAATGCTTTCAGCTTACAGCAAAAGGAAGCGGTACTTGTTGCATTTCGAATTTCAAAACTAAGAGAGTTAAAAAATTTAGGACCTTGGAAACTGATGGAGAACTTTCTTATATTGGTCCTGCATTGTGGTAAATAAAAATGCTCCGAACTTCTAGTGCCATAAGAATGCACCTGGCGTGTCACCAAAAACATGTTATTGAAGCTATAAGGAAGTAAGCCAGATCTGTATTGATACATAAATTTTCCTATTTGAAGTTTGTAGATACTCTCAAGATTCAGAATTTTTAAATTTTTAAATAAGGGGTCAGTGTGAGCATCGAAAGCACTCCTCGACATTATTCTTACGACCCGTTTTTGAAGTGTGATTAATCTTCTGAGGTTTGATGGGTAGGTCGATGCCCAGACGCTCACGCAGTAGAATAAGTATGGGTAGATAAGGCTAAAATAAAGCATCCGTAAGGAGGAATTATTAAGGCAAAAACTTGATTTATAAATTATACCTATGGCTTTAGACACTTTCCTAGCAACATTATGTATATGTGATTTCCATGTTAAATGTTCATCCAAAATTACACCAAGAAAAGTAGCTTCCTTAACACGGTCAATC